CTTGAAGTTCAACAGAACACTGGCTTGTGTGGCCTGAAATTCAAGCCATGAATAAAACACTGGCAACTGTGGCTTGAGATTCAAGCCAGAAATAAAATACTCTGGTAACTGGTAAAATTATATTGATTTGTTGTTTTAATAAAAATATCATAAAGATTTTCAGCAACAATATCATTAAAAACTGTGAGTCCTCACTCCCTACACAATAAACTGTTTGTAAATAGTTTTAACATTTTCGATGAGTCCCTCTTCCACTTTTATTTGATTTCTTTTCAATACTTCAATATTCAAACAACTTTTTAAAATAAACTTTTGGTCAAATGTTTCTACCATTGACTTGATGGGCCAGTGAAGCTTGTTCAACACTTCTTCCAAAAACTCTGCCTTAATACTGTTTCCATCTACAGACTTGACTCTGCCAAACCATGCCTTGTCCGGATACCACACGGCAACCCAGTCATTAGTAGTCTGTGAACAAACAAAAAATCAAATCTGATTAATCAAATCTTAAGGATCAAGGGTGAACATTTTTATTTGTCAACAAGTTTGTATTTTGGTGGACATTGGAGTTATTCATGTCTAGTCTTCAGTTAACAACCCAAACAATGGGTTTTCAACCAGTACAAATGCAGTGGAAAAGCCGATATTATTCAAGATAAAATTTGCTTACCGGCATTTTTGTTCCACTTTGTTGCTGCTCTTTGGTTTCTATAAAGCAGAACAATAAATAATTATTACTATAGTAATCTAAAAAATTACCATTGAGTAGATAATATTGACAATCATGTCATGTGGATCATAAAATGTAATGTCCTTAATTACATGAACGAGCAAAAACCACAAAAGTTAATTGAAAATAAGAGAACATTTTGATGTGATCATGTGCCACTAAGCTGCTATTTTTAGTTTTGAGGCTGAGAGATAAAATATACCATTTATCAAGTGTATTCTGCAGACTGGCCAATAAAAATCCCAGCAAGTCTTCCATCATACTTGCAGATGTGATTGACCTCTTGTATGATTTCATAAAATTTAGGATTGTGTTGGTCTCAGTTTCATCCTCATTGTCATACACTTGGGTGAGATTGTCAAAAATGTCAGGGAAGTCTATCTCAAACTGCTTCATGTCGCTTGGTGACACCATTCGAATTCTTTTTCTTGGCTGGTAGTTTTCTAAAAAGTGATCTATTTTTCCACTTTTTTTCAGAACTAATAACTTCCTTTCAATTTCTTTTTCTTTCATCCACTCTTTTGACTTTGTATGTTTATTTGCAGATAATGCAATATCAGCTAGAAAACACATAAAGAAACATGTCATTGTCAATGACAGTTCTTGTTTGTATTTGGCTGAATTGGAACAAACAAACAAACTTACATTGATGTAACCCTTATGCAATGCGCATACCGTGTTTGAAATGGTGAGATTATTATGAAGTGCTTACCTGTGATGTTCTTGCAACTGTCTTCATTTATTTTTCCTTCATTCACAAGCTGTACAGAAAATATGCAGATAAATATGTTGGTATTTTGTTCCTTGAATAGTATCTGATTCAATAATGATTAAGGGTCAAACAAAGAAAGCACATGTGCCTCACATTCGATTTTGTCTTTTTGATTTTGATTCGAATATTTATTCCCTTCATTTAACATTTTAAAAAATAGTTTACAGTAAGTTTGTAACTCATTTATTTAAATTTGGAAATTTATACGGCAGGTGTGTAAGTAGATGGGTGCAATTTAAATGAAAAATGTTCACCTTTGTTTTCTTTGTGGATAGAGAACTACCATGTGAATCCATATCTGTGAATCCATAAAAAAGAAACCTATGAGTTATTCCATTGAAAGTGGTTATAGGGCACTGTTTTGATTGGAAACTAGACTTAACTAACAGTATTATCAGCAGGAACACAAATTATGGTTATGCAATTAGCTGTTCTTCAGAGTTAAGCAGTCATGAAAGTCCACCGATCATCCATTCTTGAAATGTTTCACACTTAATTCCACAGGAGGAATATTCATGCATACAAAAAAAAAATATTGTGCAGCACTGTAACCCCATAATAGAGGATTATACCATACAAAGCATTAACATTATTAAAAGAGAAACTTGTTACATTGTAATCATTATTCATTTGAAGTTATATTGTCAGCAAAATTATACAAATGAAAAAAAACAATTCCCAATTTAAATTGAATATTTATATGATCTGTTCGTGTAAAAAATCTCTTTTCTAGTACTATGTGCTGGTGTAGTAAACATGGATTACTTGCAAAAATACCATGATTCGCATTGAATATGCACTCAAAATGCTGCGTGACAGAATTGCTTTCAAATGAGAAATCAAACTATTCTAAACAGAACAACAATAAATATTATATCAAAACAAAATTGGTAAAAAAAAAACACCAGTGATGTGAACACCACACTATATTCACCATACACGGAGACTCGCGCACTTATGCTAATATAATGGTGCAATCCTTACCAGGGACCTTTCGTTTTAAACAGGTAGTACTTTCACCACTTTCATTTTTTTCCTTGTCTTTGCCACTGTCAATTAGTTTAGCCTTGAATTGATAAAAACAAATTATTAAATGTAGCCAGCGAAAATAAAATTTATTACAAACATGTTCTGTATCGTATATGATACAAAGCTAGCCAGCAAAGTGTCAATTTAAACATATTTTATCACGAGTAACTACAATTTAAAACTCACCTTTCCGTTCAATTTAATTTGTTCTATTGAGGTGCACATTTTTTTATTTTTCTCTCTTTCATTTTGTAATTCTGTTTCCAGATGTTTTCTTCTGGTCACCTCTTCTTTTAGTTGTTTTTCTAAATTACCCTGTGCATGAACAAAACACGAGTTAAATGGAAACCATGCTATTGTAAAA